ATCACAGGCCACAACGAATGATTACGAGACATGCCAAATGGATTGAACCCATCTGTACATAAGCCAAGATATACATTTCGGGGTTCTTCCGCAAACTCGGGATTTTGCTCTTGGAAATATCTCCACTCTGCCGCATCTGAAGGATGATTCATTTCTCCTTCCTTTGATTGGTGCTCGGAATGCCATCGCATTGCCGCTGCTGTCTTGTGGCTCTGATACATTCTCTTCAATCGGTCACCAATAGGTAGATACCACATTCGACTATATGGTACTTTGGTTCTACGACGATCATCCTTAGGCTTCCATCTTTGTGCACCACAAAACCGACATTGATCTTCTTTTTCAGTTTCTTTCCAGAAAAGCATACAATTGTTCATACAAACATCAATTGTATGATATGGAAGACCTAAATTGCGCATCAATTTTTTGGTCTGGTAATGCGAACCGGTTGCCTGGTTTCCTTCTGGTAAAAAATCTGTAAACATTTGGCAAACCGAATCCACTAACTTTTCACTCATATTATACTCTGCCTTATTATGCATGAGTCGAGCAGCTAACGATAACTGCGATTGACCTTCACGACAACCATCGTATAATGGGTTTTGTGCACCTTCTAACAAGTCGTAAAATTTATTTGAATGGTTACGTACTGGTTCTTCGACATTCTGATAACTACCATCCTGATCATAGTTATCATCAAACCCCACGTTATAACGAAATACATCGTTCACCATATCCACATAAGGATCTTCTACAACATAACCCACCTCTTCATGATTCTCACTTTGATATGTCCTATCAGTGTGACTTGTTCCTATATCCATATTGAGTTCTTCCCCATGTCTATACCAAACATAATAATCTGGCATAAATCCTTGACTAAACAAATGACTACTAACTCTTCTACCCGAGACCATATGTTTTTCATTCTTGCACACACTACAAGGACAGTGAAATTTACCGCGGTTACTCTGTACTATAGGCTGGCTATTAGCAAACGTCATGAATTCCTCCACACCGGCTACGTACTCTGCTGACAAATTTCCCGTCACTTTGTCGAACAGCTTGTACATCCACTCCCGATAACCACCATTACCGCCATAATTGTAATTTCCCGTCATTACCAATAAAATATAAAGAAACTAATTTTTTGAAAAGTGTTTATTCCAAATTCGTTTTTTTTTTTCGAATTCGTTTTTTTTTCTTATGTGAAGGAAGAGAGAGGAGATGAGTGAAGAGAGTGAGTGCTGTTTTCTTTTATATAGACAATTTTTGGGCGACTAATTGGCGACTAAAAGTTGTAGTCGCCAAAAAACCGGTACACCTACCACAAACGAAAAAAACGTGTTTCTTAACTGTAAAATACGACAAATTGGCGACTAATTTACGACTCGCCGAAAGAGTCGTAATGTAGTCGCCAAACTAGCGACTAATATATACTGTCGGAAAATAGTCGCTAAATTAGCGACTAATATACGACTATAATATATATTCTACTTATTAGTCGGTAAATCGTCGCCAAATAGCCACTACATTACTGACAACCTGTTTTCGTCGCTCTTTGGCGACTAACTTACGACTACTTTTCTTTAGTCGTTAAATAGTCGTAAAATAGTGACATAATAGTCGGTAAAATTGGCGACTACATTAATAGTCGGAAGCTGTAGTCGGTAATCGACTGTTTTCTTGTAGTGGATGATCATTCTAATTATGTCGTTTTCGTCTGTCATAGGGTGTTAAGATTCATGCATCAGTAAAGAAGGACTTGGTGAGCAAGTATGTGAACAACTTGCCAGTCAATGAGTGGAGGTTTATAGAAACCTTTGCTCTTAACCATGCATCAGGTCAATTCCGCCCTACTGGTCATCTATATAAGATGTCCTTTGTTACTGGGACACAGGTCATCCGGTGTGATCCTGTTAGTGACTCTAGCTACCTTTCATTAGCCAGATTCTCTGATATTCAGACTGGTGAATTAAATCCTCACATCTTGGTTGGATGCCAATTTCTTATTTGTTTCAGCACAGTTATATTCATTAAAGATCTTCATTATCGTTTAGTATATATGATTGGTTATCATTGTCTTATTGTCTTTGTAGATGTTATGGGTCAAGTGGTTAATATCGGTGAACTTGAGACTCTAGAGGCTAATAACAAACCTACAAATAAGATTGACTTTGAATTAAGGGATGACACGTAAGTTTATCATATATGAATTCTCTAAAGTTTAGCCCTTTTATACTTATTGTTTTGAAAAAAACTGATATAGTCTTTGCTGTAGTGATGAGAGAATGTCTTGTACTTTGTGGGGAACATTCGCTCAGAATGTTTTTAATGCATGTGAATCTGCTGATGGAAGAATGGTTATCTGTGTACTAAGATTTGCAAAGATTAAGTCTTTCAAAGGTATTGGTCTATTCTTCACTTTCTTGATGTAACTCACATATTATTAAAGTACTTTACTTAACTAATTGTGCTATTTATTCGTGTATATGGGAGTACAAAGTTTGTCTAACTCTTTTGATGCATCTCAAGTTCACATCAATCCACCTTTCCCTGAAGTTCAAACATTTGTCAATCGGTCTGTTTTCTTTGTTTTTTTTTTTTTATCATTTTTGGTTATGTAGTTTTTATATATACACTTGTTTTTAGAATCCAAATATTTATTTCTATACTGTGTTATGCAACAGTTTGCCTTCTGATGGTCTTTCACTCACCTTCCGTGAGAGTGTTCCAAAGTTTCAAATTGTAACTGTGAAACAGGATGACTGTTTACAATATGAGAGGAAGACAATTTCTATTTACCGAAGCCAGTTTTTTCTCATGGGCAACTCTATGTTGCTCTATCAAGGGTCACTTCTAAGAAAGGTTTGAAAATTCTTATTCTAGGTAAAGAAGGGAAGATTCAAAAACAAACAACAAATGTTGTTTTTAAAGAAGTTTTCCAGAATATCAACTGATAATGGTTTTCAATGATTTCTCTTTCATCCAAATAAATAGGTATGTTTCCTTTTACTTTCTCTTACTTAATATTTGCTTCAGGGTTTGCAAAACCCACAAAATACACAGACATGCCAGTAAACTAACAATATTCTTCCCATTAACAGAAACAAACAAGTTGGGAAAAGGTCACGTGGAATAGTTAATGTTTTCAATTTCCAGTTCATCTACAGATTCAGTGCTTGACTTGTCTAAATAAAGGAGCAGCGACACATTTCAATAGCCAGTTAATTGTTATTCTTTCTTTTACTTACTTTAACTCTCAGACTTTGTATAAGGAAGGTGTCTTTACTTATTATTGAAGTAATTCAACAACAATCACGCAGATATGCAACTATTTTCTAATTTCCTTTTCAATTAGATGCAAAACATTACATGAACTTCTAGAGGTCACAAGTCACTAAATTAACTATCATTTACATCATAGTGAAAACTAACATTTTCTTTGTGCTACCAGAAACCGCAGACTCTCTTGATCAATAATCCCATATCGATTGTTCAAAGACGGTTCCTATGAAATATAGTGTCTTATTAAGTTCCATACTATGACCTGCTGGTTAGATTTAAATGATGTACTAAATTAGAGTCTGAACTCTTACCTTCTCTTCCTTTTTTTGTCTTTGTTATGCAGAGTTTTTGAGTTCTTCAATATTGAATATCTTCATCAATCATCTTCAATCTGAGACAAATAAGAAAACTTGGTTACCAAAACATTAAATTTGGTATATACTTAAGAACTCAAACAGATTCATAATTTTCTTAAAACTTTGCATGAGAAACACTTGAATTGCAGCCATCATATTACAGCATCAGATTGTCCATCGAATATATAATTGTTAAGTTTTGGTCACGATTCTAATTTACAACCAATTCAAATTTAAGGCAACTTCATCGGAATTCATCAACTCGAATACGGAAATTAATATGATGGCTGAAATGTTTTTTTTGTTGTCTGAAATGTTTTTTTTTTTGTTAAAGCTGGATTAGAATGGGCTGCACTCTATTTCAGTTATTGGGCCTTCATTATTTGTTTTGGCCTTTCAGTGTATTTAAGATTTTGATTATATTGTTAATTTGTGTATTTAATTTTTTGATTATGATCTTAATATTAAGATTAGATGATATAAACTACCTATATTTTCAATCTATCAACCAAAAAACTATAAGTTTATATAAATCTTTTATTTTCAACTCATATCAACTAAAAAATATTAATCTTCAACTTTATATTAATATTAAGAACAAAATAATATTTTCATCTAAAACACTTATACTAATAGAAAATCGAAGTGATGTTTCATTACACACTCTATGTTTATACTGTATCCTGACTCATGACCATTAGTGACGGTATACCGAATTAAACAAATTATACTATTTATATAAAAGAAATATAATTATTATGTAAGACCGTGAAATAGACAAACAAATATTATAACTATTAATATCATAACTTACAACTCAAAATATTTCATCCCAACCATTCTACAAAATTATCTAAGAACACAAACAACATTCAAAATTATACACTACCAATTATTAATTTATTAAAAAATAGAATTAATATAATATTAAACCTGCGGTGTACACGGTTGTGTGGGTATTTAATTTTACACACAACCGACCACCATTATTTTGTAAGATGAAAAAAAAAAAACAACAATACTAAACATAAATACATTGATCAAAACCAAAAAATAAATTTTTAAATAAATAATAACCCCACGGTGTACCGCGGGTCAAAACCTAGTTAATTGACAAAACCGGAACAAATTAACTAGAACTGTACAAGTAAACCACTACAAACCAAAATACATAATCTCATAGACCAATTGACCGACTCGGACGTTAAATTAGGCCATAATTGTTCTTCTTAACCGACTACAAAATCGAAAATATAATCTCATAGAGCAATTGACCGACTCGGACGTTAAATTAGGTCTCTTTATTATATATATATATATATCTATATAGCTAGGTTTCTCTAGGTCTTAAATATAAGTTTTTAACACAGATCTCTTTCTACGTTCAATCGCAAATCATGAATTCATCATCTCCCATATCGATTGATCTCATCCAGGAGATATTGTCGAGATTGCCTTTAAAGTCAGTCGCTAGGTTTCATTGCGTGTCGAAGCTATGGGCGTCAGTGCTAGATAGTCCATATTTCAAAGAGTTGTTCTTGACCAGGTCCTCGGCTAAGCCGCGCCTCTTATTCGCCACCATAGAAGACGGTGTGTGGAGGTTCTTCTCATTGCCTCAGCTTCAGAATCCATATGAGAAGTCGTCGTCTCTTGTACCAGCCGCCGAATTTCATGTGAAGTTCCCTCCAAACAATATGCGGATCGGTCATAATAAAGACCAACGATATTTTCAATATGGTTACGCTTCTGGTTTGATCTATTTAAATGGTGATTCGGACGACGATAGACCTGTGATATGTAACCCCAACACAGGAGAGTATGCAATCTTACCTTATCTAAAACGTTACAGAAAAACGTATAGCTTTTTGGTGTTTGAACCGATTGACAAGCAATTCAAGGTACTGTTCATGGCTTATCAATCTGGTTGCGATCATAATCATAAAATTCTTACCGTAGGAACTGGAAATATGAAGTGGAGAACCATAAAATTTTCCTTGGGGCATGAAATTGCGAGTGAAGGGATAACCATCAATGGGGTCTAGTATTACTTAGGTGACACGAGCTTTTGGCTTAATCATGATCATGATGTAGAGTCTGATTATGTGATAGTTTGCTTTGATATTAGGTCTGAAACATTCACTTTTTTTGAGATAGAAGGGTTTTGTAGATTGATAAATTATAAGGGTAAATTAGCTGTGATTTATTTCGAGGATGATGTCGACTATCAATCGTTTGGTTATCGTAAGAAGAATTATGTCGAAGCTGATGCCATTAATGATTTGCATGTGTGGGTTCTGGAGGATATGGAGAAACAGGAATGGTCGGAATATGCCTACACTTGGACCGATGATATATTCTTCCGTCGTCGTCACGTTTCCGTTGCTCCAGCCACTGCTTTCGGTGAAATAGTTTTTTCGATGTGTGAGTATACTCCTGGACAACCGTTTTATGTTTTCTACTTCAATCCCGAAAAGAACACTCTCCAACGTGTTGAAATCCAAGGTTTTGGTGAAGCCTTTTGTAGCGTTTACACCTTTGTAGACCACGTAGAAGATCTTAATGTTAACGATTTAAAAATACTCAAGCCATTCAATGCTCCATTTGTGAAGAAAAAAGAATCAGAATCAGATTATTCAAATTTAGATTATTCAGATTCAGAATGAGATTGAGAAGGGATAAGGAGAAGAAGATAGAGACGATGATTGGAGTTAGGTGAAAGCAATGGGCATGTGATTTTGTGCTCTTTTGATATGTACCCTTTTCATTTTTAATGAAGTAAGTTTTTGATTTCAAATTAAGTGTTCGTCACTAAAATCGACGCTTGGAAATTCAATATTTGATTCGTTTCCGATATGTGAGGATTAGTTATCTCCTTGCTAATGTTGATCTCGATATTCACAAGTATCCGATAGTGTTTGATCATGGCGGATCATAAAATAGCTCGTGCATGAGCTGCTGCTTTTTTGAAGCTCTTATTATTTTTCAAATTGGCAGGTCACATGAAGTGAGATCATTATATCCAAAGTTGTATAAGGTTGCGAAATCGTTTTCTCTCGTCTTGCAGTGATTTCTCTGTCTATATATGAGCTTGAAGAGCATGGTCGTTGGAATGGAGTGTTGATTATGGACCACATTGATCCTCTGCTTCCGTAAATGGTAGATTGATGCATGAGTGACATTTTTTCTTAGTATAGAAGGTCTTTAATGCAAACAAGTGGACGTCAATCAGTTTCTTCTCTGCGAGGTCTTAATTAGGACATTCCATATGTCTTTGAGGAAGAAAAGGCATTACACGTAATAGAATTAACAACCCAACTCTACTCATCTTGATTTGCAGAGCTGTTTAATTTGGGACGCTAACTGTAGTTAAGTAAGCTAAAGGAATCCTTTACCTTAGACTTAAGAGGAATCCTCAATTGTCTAGGCACACCAGAAACTAGTAAAAAAAATGAAAATTATGCCAGAGTGCCCGGAGAAAAGCATTTTATATGAGAATAAAAGCCAAATGAAGCTCAGACAAACACTACAAGAAAACATAGCGAGTGAACCAAGACAAGTTGAGTTTATGATATTTTCACCATTTGCATTATAACAAAGTTCAGTGAAAAATCCTAACCAAGACAAGGGATTTTAATTTAGATTTGGGAGCTGTAGTCAGAGAACATAACACGTAAGAAAGATAGGTTACGGAATAAGGGTAGTGGTTCACATCTTAAACAGTCATAGATGAACTGCAAGAATAAAAAAAAAAAAAAAAAAACTATGAGGGAAAACTTTTTTTTTTGTCAACAGCTTTAAATTAAGGGCTTTTTAGAAAAGTAGGTACTTTTTCAAAAGATATTTGAGAATTAGGTAGTTTTTTAAAAAAAACTGAGGAATAGACACTTTTTGGAGGGTTTGTGAGATAGAGAAGTTTGTGTAATATGGTAAAAAACAAAATAGGTGTCAATTACAATTATATCCTTCTTTGTTGTGAGAAAGTATTTTTGAGGTGGGTCCATATTTAGTGATAATGGGTCTAATATTATTTTCATAGCCCATTTAAAATGATTTGATTTATTTGGCCTAAAGAGATTCTAATTTACATTAGTTTGTTGGCCCATTTTTTCTTTGCTTTAAACGATTAATGGATTTAATGTGTATACTTTACAGGTGTACAAATTGTTAAATTAAGTACACTATGTCTGTACATCTTTTCTGAAATATACATTGAAATAGACACAATATATATTCAAGTTGTAGGTGTATGTAACGTAAATGTATGTACACCGTATATGTACACTGTATGCACTGTGTAAACCAAATTTGTACACAGTTTTGTTAACAATTGTTGAGTTATACTATGTAGGTGTACACATAGTTTGTACACTACATGGACACCGTGTCTTAACATTTCACACATATAAACAATATCTGTACACTAGCATTTGTATATAACTTGAAGGTAAGTACACCACTTATAGGTGTACATATACGGTGTACATAATGGGTTTAATGTGTATACTTTACAAGTGTACAAATTGTTAAATTAAGTACACTATGTCTGTACACCTTTTCTGAAATATACATTGAAATAGACACAATATATGTTCAAGTTGTAGGTGTACGTAATGTAAATGTATGTACACCGTATATGTACACTGTATGCACTGTGTAAACCAAATTTGTAGACAGTTTTGTTAACAATTGTTGAGTTATACAATATAGGTGTACACATAGTTTGTACACTAAATGGACACCGTGTCTTAACATTTCACACATGTAAACAATATATGTACACTAGCATTTGTATATAACTTGAAGGTATGTACACCACTTATGTTCGTTGTGTGCATTGGGTACATCAGACTAGTAAACTAATATTGTACACCATGTCTTTTTATAGAATTAGTTTAGTAACTCATGAGAACCTGCCACTTAATAAAAATATGTAATTTTGAACATAAAATCCTTAATCCATTCCTGCTGTCAAAAAAAAAAAAAAAAAAATTCATTCCTTATAAAATCAAAACAATCATTTTAACTACATTTATTTTCTAAATCTAAACTATAACAATTTTTTTTATAAAATCTAATCGTCCTTATAAACACAAATCCTCTCTTACTTGCAAGATTCTGAACCATAATATATTTTTTACTTCGTTTATTTTTATTACTTGGAAAAACCAAGCGGTTTTCTTATTAATAGCTACTATGCCTTTTACATAGCATAGGTTGTGTACAGAGACTTGTACACTATATTACAAACTAAAGTCGTACACCTTGTTTTTAGAAATTCTTAAGTTTTTATAACACAATATGTATACATAAACAATTAGAAAGCCCATAAACAATTACAAATTATATTGATTTGTAAATTTCTAAATTATAAACCCCATAAACAATTAGAAGATGAAAACATTATTGGGTTGGTCTTGGTTTGGCTCAATTAATATCACATCTATATGTCTTTTTGTCTTATTAGGTAAATACAACAAAACAACATAATGGTATTTTAGTCTATTACTAAAAGCTGTATTAGAGAGGAAGCTTTATTAGAGAGAAAATAGAAAAGTACTCATTCTTCCAATATATAAAAAAAGTACCTAGTTTGCCAATTATTTGTGGTAAAAGTGTCTAGTTTACATAATTGCTCAAAAGAGATCCAGTCCTGAGGAATGTTGTTTACATAGCGATATAAGATTAAGTTAAGCATTCAAATATCCAATTCAATATCGGTTACCTCAAGGGTTTGGGAAGAGATGGTCATATTTTTGACGCGAGAGATCCCAACGAGAAAATTACGCGGTGTATCTCTTGGATCAAAGCCGAAACACAAGTTAAACACAATATTAATATCCACGGCAACAAAGGAACCAAGATTTTTTATTATGAAACTTGCAGTCTGATGATAACTGAGATTCTAATACTCAAGCCTGGGAGCATCAATTACAATTGATAGATCTTATTCAGGAAAATCCTTGTGCGCATCATGAGTAAAGAAACGCGTGGGAGCAACATGACTGAAGCTCAGTAGAGATTGAAAACACACTCGTAAAACTTCTAAGCGATCAAAGAAACTTATAACTAAGGTTTCGAGAGCAGCGCAGCGTGAGATCAGTGTTTCTAGACCCAAATGGTCGGCGAAATTAACTATACTTAGCTTGAGAACTTTGAGAGAAGGTAAAGAAACAGACTTGACACTAGACATGGTTACCTTACATAGCTTTAAGCATACTAAGCTTTCACAAGTGTAAATACTTGGAGGTAAAGAAAACGTACCACTCCCCCATGAATAGTCCCAAAAATCGAGATGTTTAACTTTCAGCTGAACTAGGGGTTAGACCACGCTACGCGTGGGTTGAGTTTTAAATTGAGCTTGAAACAAAGGTTGGCCACAAGGATATGAACTTAAGATTCCATAAAGAAACAAAATTTCTTCGGACCCATTTACCAGTCTTGAAGTTCTCTTCTTCTCCACCAACTTCATACACATTTTTGCTCGGATTCCTTTCACTTCTTTTTGGTGGGAAGTTGATCTGTGGCTTGAGTGAACATGTAGCCACTGATTTTCTTTTGTCTGAGCAATTTTTTTGCAAGCTTTGGTGAATGTGATATATATAATTCAAAGAAATTGTGAGGTGCAAAATGAAAGTAGCAAATAATTCAAATTTGCAAACGTATAAGAATTTATCTATACGTACGTGGGATTATATATAGTTTGTACACATTCCAATCTAGTTTACATGTTTGATTGACATTTTAAACATAGAGTAGTAAAAAGGTCTAAATAGCTATAAAGTTTTTAAACAATGAGACGATATAGCATTTCCTGTAAAACCAGTGAAAGAAGATAAACCATATGATTTTTAAACCCAAGTCTTGTAGTGGATGTCTATTTTTTGGGAACTGTTGTGTTAGCCTATACACTTCTTCACATTGGTGTTACGGCATTAAAAAGACTTGTATCCATATCATCTTTGCGTGAAACATGATTTCAAATCTAACATGACCATCAAACATGAACTATATGAAACTTATTTTTGAATTTAACCAATTCCAGATTTTTCCCCTGTGACCACTACTTTTTCATGATATGAAACTAAAATTGTTTTAGGAAATATATGTTTAAAAAATTACCAAACGCAACATAGCTTTAGTTAGTTTTTATAATTCCTCCTTTAATCAACAACACGTTCCCTTCTAATTTACGCTTCTAGAAGAAGAGAACAATTGTATAGTGAGGAGGATATTGGTGATACGAAACTTATTGACAGGGTAAGACTCTTCAGTACATTTTGATATTTCAAATTTTCAATAGCTAATGCTTAAGTGCTTCGACTCACTCACTTATCTTTCTGTAAATTACGAATCATAAATCACACAAGCTTGTCAAAAAAAGTGCGTTGAAGATTTTTGATCAAAAAAAGAAAAAGTGAGTCAAAGGTTAATAGAAAAACAGATTAATCAAATCGTGATACTGGAAATGATCAAATTGATCATGAATGATCAGATGATGTAGCAGAACATAGAAACATACCCAATCAAAATCTGTAAGCCAATTTAAAATCTCCTATGCTTTGTTTGACTATGCTCTGATCCTAATCCTCTGATGTCTCTGTAACAAAAAGCAAAACCTAAAGCTTTTAGTTAAACAAAAAGACAGGCTTTTCCATAATTTGTAAGACTTAAAGAGAATCCTTCTTACCATACACCGTTACAGAGAAGCCAATTTTTTCGAGCTAAACATCTGAAAAGAAATATATATCCGAAACACTTAAAGTCCTCCCTGAAATATAGCCTCTTTGAATCAGGTGTAATTGATGTGTTGCGTTTTTAACGGTTTCGAGTCTTGATTTAGTCCGTGTTTTGAGTCATTTATCGTGTCAAAGTCTGTCTTTTGCGTCTTTTCGATTGTGTCTTGAGTCCTTTGCAGGTTATAGGTGCTCGAGCTGGATTCGGAGCATCTTGTGCGTGATTGAGCCTATTTGGAGCTAAAACAATGGAGAAACGGTACAAGAGATCACCAGGAGCTGGGGATCGATCGATCCAACCCTCATCCGTCAAGACGTGTTCATTCCAGCAGCTCGGGATCGATCGATCCCAGGTGGAGATCGATCGATCCACCCTTTTCGACGACCAGACCGGTTTTCCTTAACCGGGTTTATTTGCCTTTTTCTGTACTTGGGTATAAAAACCCAGAGAAACCTATTTTTTTCTCGACACGTTCTTTTTTTCTGCAACTTTTGAGACTTCTTTTTGTAAGCTTTTTGGGATTCTAGAGATTCATCCTCTTTGACAATTTGGAGAAGATTTCTAAACCCTTGTTCTTTATTTATCAATTCAATCATGTTTTCTTTCATATCTATTTGCGTTGTTTTTATTGCTATGTGTGAGTAGTTCTCCAATTGGGTTTTAGGGTTCTCATTAGGAGATTCAATGGATTAAATGGATTGATTGTTATTAGGAGTTCTTATTCTCTAGGTTCTTTGATTCACATGTCCTTAATGCTAGAATAGGATTGATCACCCTGTTGTAGATTCTAGGTTTTTCTATGCATCAAAAGTGTTCGATAGAATGCCTGAAAGAATGTGAATTGAGCAATGTATTTCTAGCCAACGAAAGTTGACGTTAGGACGCATTGTGAACTTAATGAACTTGTTTGCTAATGCGAATTTGACTAGGAAATTACATGCGAAAGTTTAGTAATCGAGTAGTCAAATTTAGTGATTAATGTCTTGAAAGAGAATTAG